ATAAGGAATCGTTTTGCCCATTGAAAACGACACTTTTAGGTTGTTTAATTTTTGAAAATATTCAGTCACATATACTCTCAAGGTCATATGTTCAAATTTGAAGTTTATTACTCTACTTCGTCAAAATAAATATTTTGATGTGTCACATACACTCTCAAACACAGGATATTCAGGTTTCTCCAAAGAATTTGACATTAGAAATGACACATTCTTATGTTACTGGAATGTTGTAAAGGTCAAACCGCCTTTTAAGGACTTATGACAAAGGTATTACATAAATTAATCAAAATGATGAGTTATCGAATCTTAAGAAAAAAATGTCTATATTTGTTTCACGCTGTGTTTGCTGTATCTTTATCAAAACATTCTATGAAACCAGCTTAGGTCCAAGAAGTGCTCATGTTCAAATAATAGAAAAAAAACTCCATCAAAACCAATAACATGTTTATGAAACGTTTTTGTCTTGCCGTGTTGACATACGTACAAGATTCAAATGTGAAATGCAGTCTAATTATTTCATTCAAATGAACATATGTTGTAATTTTATCAAAAGGATCTGTTTTTTTCCTTAAACTATGCAGATTAGTGTGTCAAAAAAGGTCCTTATGTAAAATTGCATTTCACATTCGCAATCTGGATAATTTGCTTAAAACTCTTAAACGTTTAAAAAATGATACTGATTGCCAGATGTGTTTTGGGTGATAAATGATATCTTGAAAATCAAATCAGTGTTTCTGATTATAGTCACGTACAGGGGGCTGTGTGAGTACGACTGTCGTACGTCCATATTAAACTGTGGGAGTTACGACAATCATAACCTTTCGAATCGTACGTCTATGGTAAAGTATGCGACTTACGACAATCGTAACGCAACGGCTGTCGTTCGTCCACGTTAAACTATAGGACTAACAACAATCATAGCGCTTTGATTGTCTTAAGTCTATGTTAAACTGTGAGAGTAACGACAATCATAGCGCTTTGATTGTCTTAAGTCTATGTTAAACTATGGGAGTAACGACAATCATAGCGCTTTGATTGTCTTAAGTCTATGTTAAACTATGGGAGTAACGACAATCATAGCGCTTTGATTGTCTTAAGTCTATGTTAAACTGTGGGAGTAACGACAATCATAGCGCTTTGATTGTCTTAAGTCTATGTTAAACTATGGGAGTAACGACAATCATAGCGCTTTGATTGTCTTAAGTCTATGTTAAACTATGGGAGTAACGACAATCATAGCGCTTTGATTGTCTTAAGTCTATGTTAAACTATAGGACTAACAACAATCATAGCGCTTTGATTGTCTTAAGTCTATGTTAAACTATGGGAGTAACGACAATCATAGCGCTTTGATTGTCTTAAGTCTATGTTAAACTATGGGAGTAACGACAATCATAGCGCTTTGATTGTCTTAAGTCTATGTTAAACTATGGGAGTAACGACAATCATAGCGCTTTGATTGTCTTAAGTCTATGTTAAACTATGGGAGTAACGACAATCATAGCGCTTTGATTGTCTTAAGTCTATGTTAAACTATGGGAGTAACGACAATCATAGCGCTTTGATTGTCTGAAGTCTATGTTAAACTATGGTGGAAGTAAGAAATGGAAAAAAAACGACGATCATTACGTTACGAATCACGCGTCTATGTTAAACTATGGGAGTTGCGACAATCATAACGTTACGAGTCTCGTAAGTGTATGTTTAACTATTGGAAAACGATAAAAATGACGTTACGAGTCGTGCGTCAATGGTAAACTATTGGAGTTACGACAAACATAACGCTTTGATTGTGTTAAGTCTACGTTAATCTAAGGGAATAACGCCAATCATAGCGCCACATCTTTCACACGTCAAAGTCAAACTAGTGGATTTTACGACAACCGTGCGCTTCGGTCGTTTGTGTACGATTCCAACTATATCATGTTGTTTTCAGATGTTTCATTTCACTGAAGCCAACCCCTCTGAGAATGAGCGGTTACAGGAGACGTTCAAGGTTTCAGAGAGATTCCACCTGGACATCTTGGCCTACCAGCACCTGTACCTCTACCCTAACGCTTGTCCGACGGCTTAGAAAACGCACCGCAACATCCTCCCATGATGTCATCATAACCAGAACCAGAAATTTCACACCCGTCTGTCAGCTACCTGCTACTTTCAGTTGGTGTTAAGTGCACCCCAAAACACAGAGATGCCTCTAAAATTCTTTATTCTGTTGGTGGTCGTGGTAAAAGCGTTGGGGGTCTTCGGATACAAAACATATATGTATATAAATGAAAAACGAGTTGGTTATATTAACATTGATGTAAAATTAAGTCATCACGGGAAATGACCAAGTCTTTTTGTATGGTCAGCTGTTGCATAGATTGTTGGAGGGTGATACTTAAGAAAATAACCCCAATGTCATCACGCTCCTCAATATTAAACTGTAATTTCTTTAGAAAAGTGTTATGGGCACAAATAATTTATAATCCAGGCATACATTAGTTGGTTTTTGAAAAGTTAGCCGTAAGAGGCGACTAACGGGATCGGTCGGCCAGGCTCGGTGACCTGGTTGATGTATGTCATCGTATTCAAACTTCTTGGATAACTGCTCATGATGTCAATCACTGGATTGTCTGGTCAAGACTCTATTATTTAGAGACCGCCGCCATATAGCTGGAATATTGCTGAGTGCGGACTTAAAAACAACAAAGAAACAAATTAAAAAAAATATATAATGAAGGCATTATTTTGGATCAAGAATTTCAATGGTGTCAGTGTTGTTATATTTATGCTTATGACATAGTTCAATACTGTCTGAACTGAAGTCATAATTAATAAACAGTGCATTGCAATTGGTGCCTTTTTCATTTTTATTTGTGCAAGCATCTGCCTGTGTGTTAAAATGAAACACTATGGCACCCAAACTGGGAAAGGTATGTGGCTTTGGACACTGTAACTTTCATTTATTTCCTTGATTGCTTGACATAAAAGCTTAAGGTTATATGCAAAATTTTAGCAAAATCTTATAACTTCATCACCAGTTTTTATATGAAGACATGTGTAAGTCATAGTTTGTTCAACATATATACTTAGCCGTAAAAGAAAAGTCCCCCCAAGTAACATTGCATGAAAAGTTGTCATTTAAATGTCTGGGTAAATTTTGTCAAAGTTTTTAAAATTTAACATTACCTTGTCCGGAAAAATAAAATTTGATGATAAAAAAAAACAAGCAGATGACCCAAAAAATGATCGCCCAATCGCATCACGACAACGGCCATGGTAACCCGATGCACGTGAGTTCCGTGCAAATCGAAATGCACATGCGTTCCCCAATTTCTTGCCCTATAAAAATCCATCCAGATCGGATAACATGCATTCGTTATTGAAGTGCTACCACATGCCAAGATTGACAAGAAATCAGCAACACCAAGCCCTTGAACGATTGCAAGCTGGACAAGTTGGCCACACCGAAGACCCATTCTGACGCCACGTCATCGCCGGGGCCGTCTTCAGTGGGCACCACAGCACCCGCATTGGCGCCACAAGCAGTGGAGAAGATTCTCAGACGAGAGCCGTTACTGTATCTCAAAAGTAGATGGCAGAGAGAGAGAGAGAGAGAGAGAGAGAGAGAGAGAGAGAGAGAGAGAGAGAGAGAGAGAGAGAGAGAGAGAGTCTGGCGACGCAGTGGTGAACCTTATTCGGATGCTTGTGTTGTTGAAAGAGACTCGTGGGGTGGTCCGAGCATCATGGTGTGGGGTGGAATTGGTCTTGCACAGAGGGTCAGCCCTGTGGTCTTCCAGAACATCGGTCAGGCGAGAGACAATGGTGTCACAGCAGCTCGGTACATTGATCAAGTCTTGAGACCACGCCATACCTCATTTGGCACGTCGCTTTATGATAAAGGAAAGGGTTTGTCACTTTTATTCACAGTGTCCAATTTATGGTCACGTTTCAAGGAAAATGCAACCGAAGAGGAAACTGTTTGTGGATGTAAGTTAACCACTTGAACTGCATGTTGTAATGACGTGGTATTCTGTCAATAAAAGTCACACATGAGAGAAAAACGTTACTTACGCGGCACTTCCCGGTTGAACTTCTTATGATAATGGAAAGGTTGTGCTGCTATTATTTAAATTTTACAGATCATGTCGGCCAAAGTTGTTCCTTTTGTCTAAAAGCCCTAATAAAAATACATGAGGTATGAAACAAAATATTAATTAAAATTCCTAATTCTTAATTTCGTAATCATATCAATTTACATATAAACACATAAGGGCCCATGCCTTATATAAAACACAGATATCATGGTTAATTATGGAAGAAACCGACTACCAATTGTAAACTGCCTACCATTTTGAAATGACAGTTTCACATTCCTCAATGACATTAATTAATATACGTTGGAGTGCACAATTCGTCTTCATTATAGAACCATACCATGTATCTGTCTGGCTAATATGTGTTTATTTGTTTGACATTAATACAAAGATTCGGTTTACTAGATTACAGTAGAGATATATTATATTGTATATTTCGTCGTCACAGGATGAAACTCAACACCTGATATAAACCACCATGTTCTTCTGTATTCTCATTTCATCAGGTTCTTCAAAAATTGTATACACCTTTACTTATTTGTAAAACAGATAAACATTATTGTGATCAAGTAGAGAAACATCGTGTTGATTAAAGTAGTTATTAATATATTCATGAACAATAACACATCTAACAATGAAACCCATACTTATTGAAGTTTGTTTGAAGTTGTAGGGTTATCATCACAACCCAATATTTCATAAACATATCATAGTGTGACATCTGTTCATGTCTATCACAATATTTAACATTTAAAAAATCATTAAAAATAGTCACAATACTTTTCATTTAAAAAAATCATTAATTATTCTTAATTGTCCTATTAAGAGCAAAGAGAATAAAGATAAACACAGCTGTGCCAAATTTCTAAATGAAGTTCTACCAAGCAATACATGATCGCTTCACTGCAACAACTCTTGTTACTAATTACTTGTCGACGCGGGTATATACCTGATCATCAATCAGACGTCTCAGTGTTACCGCGTACGGTGTTGATAGCCGCTGTTGCAGCAGACACCTCTCCCAAGAAGCTTCCTTGATCCAGTGTCGTGAGGACGTCTACACACAGAGGTGAAGGTGAGAGGAGTCATCATACCCGTGGTTAAACCAGGCTGCCGTTGTACAAAACAACCTTAGCGCAACGACTGTCGTAAGTCTGTGTTGAGGTATGGGAGTTACGATCATATAAGCGCTGAGATCCTTTTGTACAACAGCACCCTGGTCTCTTTGGCCAACCAATCACAATCATCGTGATTGGAATTCAAAGTGATATTCTGACATGTTGCAGAGAGATTGTGTGGTGTGACAGTTCATTGCCATTTCCAAATTTGAATTTTCAGATAAGTGTAAATGTCCGTGTTGGCCTCTGAATTTTGGTCAAAATCCTCTGATCTTGACGATTTGGTTAAACGATTGCCTTTACACCACATAATGGGAACAATTTGGACTCCTTTTTTATATATTCGTTGTTATTCTCAGGGCATTGCGACGTAAAGCAAGTCGTGGATTACGCCTTGTCCATTTCTTGAATTTTCGTGAGGCAATGGAGTATTAATTCTCCTCAAAATAAAATATCTCACTCCCGAAACAAAAAATACAAATGGTCATATTTCGAGTCCAAGAAAAGAGTGTTAAAGTCAAAACAAGGTGATTTAGCCGAGAAGTGTAACTTAAGGTTCAGGTATATCTATGATCTGATATTGTTCAATAACCATCAAATAGCCAATTCCCTTCCACTGGTTTACCCATCCAATTAGGGCCGCTTCATCTGTTTCATACTTAGATCTATGCATAAACATTCAGAGTGACAAAAAACTCTCCAGAAGACTGTATGACAAGAGGGATGATTTCAGCTTTCCAATAGTCAACGTTCTCTTTGTGTCGAGCAATATTCCTGCAGCTCCAGCCCTTGGTGTCCACATTTCAAACTCTCGAAAAGCGCCATACACCTCTTGCTCAGAAGTTGTTTGATCAAGGTTACAATATCCAAGGCCTCAGTCAAGTTTTATGGTGAACATTTCCCAATTTGACGTATCGGAAACAAAAATGATGTCTGATGCAATTCCCTATTTTGACTTGTACCACATGTTCCCATGATTTTTCAGGTGAGCAATTGACTTGCCTTTGCATGTTTGTGTGACGGGTGCAATCGATTGAGCAGAATAACGCCCGCCTTTTCGCGAACACCTGGGATATACCTTATTTGATAGTGATTCCTAAACACAATATAATCATCCTCATTATATAGTCGGAATCGTAAATCGACTTGATGACAGACAATTCTTATGAATATGGAAAGGGTTAGTCGCTTTTATTTTGAAGTCACTAAATACAGGATGACATAAAAATAATTGTACCCGCTCAGTTTCAGTATCCTGCGAAGAATGGGAAGTATGACATTGTACGGAGTCCTCCTCTGTGTGATGCTGTGGGCAAACGTGGAGGGCGGCAAGGACGACAAACTGTTCATGCTTGAGATATCTCTACCCCCGCTTCTCGGCAGAAATGAGGCATCTGATATATCCGCCATAAAGCAGCTCCTCTACAACACCCCAGGAGTCACTGTCACATATGCACTCAAGGTGAGCATGGTCATATGTTCAAATTAAATGTTAAACTCCTCTACTTCATTGAAATTAATATTTTGATGTGTGAATACACTCTCTTTGTACGTTCTGAAAAGGATATTTCATTTTTCGCAATGAATCTGCTCACAACATACTACAACTCTTGGGGACCGGTCATTTAATATTGTCAGTAGCTGTTAGAGACACAATATGTTTTCAGTCACTACTTCAAGACGCACAAAATTTCTCTGCAAGAAGGAGCGAAAAAAAATATTTGCAAACCATTCTTAGGACTTCCAGCATGTCAAACAAACAACTGTTCTTTGAAACCCTAAGTGAAAGTTAATTTTTTCAGTATTTTTTAGAACAAATTATTCTTCCAAAACAATCCCCGAGACAATATGGTGAGTCCGTGATACGGTAATGATGACACTTTGTGAGACAACAAAAGATTTGCAGTAAACAAAATGTTTGGTTATTAATACGTTTCTTATATATTTATCAGAAAAATGTGTCCTATTCCTTTTGTCTGATGTATGATTGATATCGCCCTCAATTTCTGTCTTTTGTCATTTATATCAGGAAGTTGGCAACCCCATCATAATAGCAGGCAAGTGCATCTGAAGTTACAGTTTACAGTGGTGATGATAAGGTTGTAATTATCTTGTGTTTTTTTTCCCACAAATACTATCCCCGATAGGCGTGGGGAATCATGTATGGTATGTGCCCAAGAACATACTCCTCTCTTATTAATTGTTAGGGATAAGGTTTAATGACCTAACTATTCTCAATTGAAATAGGTGTAGATGCATTTACATACCACATGGATCTTCTCTGTCATATTTCTAGATCATGTTTCTATATGTATACTTTCACACACTGTGGTCTTATAATGTGATTCAACAATGATCAGTAATAGAGAGTCTCTGTAAATTTTGGAGTGGTATATTTACCATAGTTTGAACACGTGTACTTTTAGTTGTGGAAGTGGAGAACGACTGTACCTGGGCTTCTGTAACCAGTGTCCTGGCTTCAAGAGGTGACAAGTACTCAGCCATTCCCCTCTACCGCTGTGAGGACTTTGCCAGAGCCATGAATGTGACACTCAACACTCAGACAAAGGAGTTTGATAATGTGACCATCTACCTCGCAGATCTTGTCTTCTATGCGGAAGGTATAATTGCCAAAATGGCTGTGTTTACAACACATTTGATATTGATATAGTATATTCTAGCAAATTTTGCTCTGCAACTAGGCTCCACTAAGTCATTTTATCACACTCCCAGGTGACGACTCATAAGTTCTTCCCAATGCAAGTGTATACTGAAATGATAAAAGACCATTGAAGTAGTACAGTCAGTCTCAGCATGGTCACTAACATTGAAAACAATACTCCTCTTCTAATTTTCTTTTTCTAATTTCTATGTTACTGATGGGCAATATTTGAACAATTGGTGGCCATCTTGAAATATGGCGGCCATCTTGTATTTTTAGGTGGTTAAAGTATTTTCACAATATGCGTTCTATGCTTGTATCCTCATTTGAACAAATCCCAAATATTTGAAACTGTATGTGCTCCAATATATCAACAACCATGAGTCCAATGTTCAGCTGGTACATTGATTCTAAGAAATACTTCATCAGCAATATGCAATAAGTATCATATTGCCCCATTTCATTTAAGTTTCCCAAAGGTCATGTCGCCATCATTGTTAAATTAACCTGCAAATTCAGTTCCTACAGCAATGCTTCAGGTTATAGTGCACACTTATTCAGTGTGAGTGAGTGAGTGGATATTTAACGTCACATCGGCAATACTCCAGCTATATCGTGACGAGAAGTTATACATTAAATACTACATACATTTGACGAAATAAATACCTGTCATCGATCGACAGTACAATAACTAGAATATCACAGATTCGACTTAAAACTACTTGAAAATATTTGAAAGCAGAAAGTATTAGTTAACACCACAATATGAAAATAGCACACTGATAAGGCTCCAGTAAATTAGTAAGTCTAAATATAACCAATGTGACTTTAATTTTTAACTTTATCAGTCACTATCATCATAGACTAATACTATTTAATGTCGCACTACAAACTTCATAATATAGGGCACTTGTTTGCAATGCCTCGTGCAGTCTTTCAGTTTCATCTTGTATTTCACATGTGTACAGGTTATACCACACCTGAATACACGAACATTCTGAAGAGTCATCTCCAGATCACCAGCAACTTGCTTCAAGATGGCACCATGATGCACTGCTACAGGGACATGGGAGACGTTCCCATCAGGGTAAGCAAGATACAAACAAAAACCATTAATTGATAGTAAACCATTGCGAGCAACAGCTATCTCATATTATTGGGAAAGACAAACAAACAGCGCCTTTAATTGTCCCGATCCTGATGGCAGCAGTCACCAACAGGAAGAGCAATGGTCATTTCAGGAGAATTCATTTTTTTACTTGGTTTGATGTAAACCTGCGTGACTTAAACGCTATTAAGAAAGATAATTTATGTATGTCAACTTCTTTATTATGAGGAACACAACGTTTCGGAGTACATGCTTACTCCTTCATCTTTCACCTGATGAAGTAATAAGTATATTCTCCGAAACGTTGTGTTCCTCATAATAAAGAAGTTGACATTCATTAATTCTCTTCCTCAAGTGTATCACTTCTAAATGCCCATCAAAGACCTGAAAAACGCTCTCAGTATGATAAAACACATGCACATATGTAAAACCCGTCATATAAGGAGTTAAGTTCTTGTTTCCAGATGTTTCACTTCACCGAAGCCAACCCCTCTGACAATGATCGGTTGCAACAAGTCACAAAGACTTCAGAGAGATTCCACCTGGACGTCCGATCCTACCAGCATCTGTACCTGTACCCGAACAGATGCCCGAAGAAGTAGACGCTGTCCTGCAAAATCCTCTCTGACTACAATGTAACCGGAACAATGCCATAGCCTTCTTAAAGTACTGTCGGCAATGCTAGGAAAATGCTTTTCTGGCTTCATTTAATATATACGAGTCATAGGACTTTAAAAAGAGCACATATCAAAATAACACAAATTGACCAAACCTGGCCTGTCCTAACTGACATTGTGATTACCCTTAAAATGTACTTTTGCAGGTAAAATGATGATAAACTTGAAATATTCGTGTGTTGTCATTATTGTATGAAATGGCCTATATAACCTGAGGTAATTACCTACCACCTGTCCCGAGGTGATGACCTCACATTGTCCCGTTCATGGTCTCAAAATATAGCTGTTATTGTACTTAATTGACATGTGCGTTGATCGGGTAGCAATTGAGGATATGTACTGCATTATATTTGCTTGGAAACATGATTGAATAGTTTAGCGCTATGAAACTGGATGAGTATTGAAGGGTTGCGATTTTACGTAAGACAACGTGACCGTGTTGTGCCGCCAGCACATATGTCTTGTACTTTACTGGTTTCCTATTCAGCCGATTTTTTTCTCTCCACGAGTTGAACTTTCGTTTCATATAGTCTGATGTCGACGATGTCATTTATTCCTGCATGGTCGCCTTCAGACTACGCATGGTTTAGGCGACAGTATCTGATTCCCGGACATTATATTTGGACTTAGAATAAATGTGAACTTCCTGTTTTCGTTCGATATACTTCAAACCACAGGTAGGTCGATCGGTAGTTACTCGATATTTCAATTTCAACAGTCTGTGAAAAATTATATCCTTTTAAACAGGCAAAAAGCAGTTTTCTAGCTTTTCCGACAGTACTTTGGTTGTTACACACTATCAGCATTTAGAATGAGTTCTATTAGGTTCGCTCCAAACAACGATGCTTATATGATTATCATACAAAAACAATATTCATTCTTTGGGGAAGGCCGGGGAAATATGGTCTGCTGCAAAAATATCACCAAAAACACAAATGAGTGAAATTTGTCTGATATGGGGACCGACGACTGCTTCAAGAGATACATGTTTATTTTCTTCAAAGAGGGGCCAAAAAAACCTCAATACACTTTCAGACACCCAAGCGAACAATTAGTTTTGGTTGTGGTAAAATTTGTGGTAAATGTACCTTTGTCCGTTATATTATCTGGAGCAAATGATATAAAAACAAACACTCTTCTTAAATAAAGGCTTGTCATGCTGCAATTGTCCTGTAACGCCTTGACCAGGACCAGGGCCCACTTGCACAAAGCGATCTTAGCGCTAAGATGATCGTTACTCCCATACTTTAACATAGGCTTACGATAGTCTTAGCACTAAGATCGCTTTGTGCAAGTGGGCCCTGGACACCTTGTGTCACGGCGATCTCGACTCTACAACGGATGCACTCCCACACTTTAACATAGACTTTAAAAAGAGCACATATCAAAATAACGCTAATTGACCAAACCTTGCCTGTCCTAACTGACATTGTGATTACCCTTAAAATGTATGGTAAACTTGAAATATTCGTGTGTTGTCATTATTGTATGAAATGGCCTATATAACCTGAGGTAATTACCTACCACCTGTCCCGAGGTGATGACCTCACATCGTCCCGTTCATGGTCTCAAAATATAGCTGTTATTGTACTTAATTGACATGTGCGTTGATGGGGTAGCAATTGAGGATATGTACTGCATTATATTTGCTTGGAAACATGATTGAATAGTTTAGCGCTATGAAACCGGATGAGTATTGAAGGGTTGCGATGTTACGTAAGACAACGTGACCGTGTTGTGCCGCCAGCACATATGTCTTGTACTTTACTGGTTTCCTATTCAGCCGATTTTTTTCTCTCCACGAGTTGAACTTTCGTTTCATATAGTCTGATGTCGACGATGTCATTTATTCCTGCATGGTCGCCTTCAGACTACGCATGGTTTAGGCGACAGTATCTGATTCCCGGACATTATATTTGGACTTAGAATAAATGTGAACTTCCTGTTTTCGTTCGATATACTTCAAACCACAGGTAGGTCGATCGGTAGTTACTCGATATTTCAATTTCAACAGTCTGTGAAAAATTATATCCTTTTAAACAGGCAAAAAGCAGTTTTCTAGCTTTTCCGACAGTACTTTGGTTGTTACACACTATCAGCATTTAGAATGAGTTCTATTAGGTTCGCTCCAAACAACGATGCTTATATGATTATCATACAAAAACAATATTCATTCTTTGGGGAAGGCCGGGGAAATATGGTCTGCTGCAAAAATATCACTAAAAACACAAATGAGTGAAATTTGTCTGATATGGGGACCGACGACTGCTTCAAGAGATACATGTTTATTTTCTTCAAAGAGGGGCCAAAAAAACCTCAATACACTTTCAGACACCCAAGCGAACAATTAGTTTTGGTTGTGGTAAAATTTGTGGTAAATGTACCTTTGTCCGTTATATTATCTGGAGCAAATGATATAAAAACAAACACTCTTCTTAAATAAAGGCTTGTCATGCTGCAATTGTCCTGTAACGCCTTGACCAGGACCAGGGCCCACTTGCACAAAGCGATCTTAGCGCTAAGATGATCGTAACTCCCATACTTTAACATAGGCTTACGATAGTCTTAGCACTAAGATCGCTTTGTGCAAGTGGGCCCTGGACACCTTGTGTCACGGCGATCTCGACTCTACAACGGATGCACTCCCACACTTTAACATAGACTTTAAAAAGAGCACATATCAAAATAACGCTAATTGACCAAACCTTGCCTGTCCTAACTGACATTGTGATTACCCTTAAAATGTATGGTAAACTTGAAATATTCGTGTGTTGTCATTATTGTATGAAATGGCCTATATAACCTGAGGTAATTACCTACCACCTGTCCCGAGGTGATGACCTCACATCGTCCCGTTCATGGTCTCAAAATATAGCTGTTATTGTACTTAATTGACATGTGCGTTGATGGGGTAGCAATTGAGGATATCCTTGACCAGGACCAGGACACCTTGTGTCACGGCGATCTCGACTCTACAACGGATGCACTCCCACACTTTAACATAGACTTGCCGTATTCTCACGCCGTAGGACAAGGCTTGTCTTGGAAGTCCTTACGCCATCTATGTCAGCTGAAGTGACACGAGAATGTCTTAGAGTGACTGAGTGAGTTAAAACTTTACGTCGCATCGGCATTATTTCGGCCATATAGGGACGAGACCAAGTTTATATATTCAAAGGTGCAAGGTTATATTTAGAAACAATGTTTTCAAGCATATATGGGCATGACAATATTATATACACAGATTAAAACACGGGTTATAGGCCACCAATAACCAAAGCTAGGCCAACGAATTTCAGAATAAGCAATTACTTATTCACATACATATCTTAAAATTTATTTTACAGACCAATTTCATTCAAGTAACCGAGAATTTGATGCCCGTTTTCACGGGAAAATAGGTCTTCCAGATTTACGCTTAGATAATGTGAATCTCTTGTGATTGCAAGTCCACAGAGTCAAGCAATATATGCTTGACGGCGAACCTTTCATTACAAGGGGATCTTGGCTGACATAAATTGAGTTTTTTAAAATTTATTCTCAAATTTCCATTCTAACTAATTTACACACAATAAACACTAAACTTACTCTGTGTCATTACTGGGACATACGAAGGCTTCCATGGGCAACTCCACTACATATAAGCAATAAATGGGCATCCTCATGGGCACCACATGTACATGTACCACCCTTCTTGTTTCTTTATATAGCTATCGCTCCAAGTCTGGCTGCCTTACATGAACATTTGTAGTCGTTCCCACAGACAAGGCCTTAAATAACATTACCATTATATGTAAGCATCACTTCATTAAGTGTTTGATAAACGAACATGGCAAGTGTGGCATATCACATACTACCACATATAAGACCTCCCTACGCAGAGCCAGGTTAGAATTGGTCTCCAACCACCCATGCCTGTCGTAAGAGGCGACTAACGGGATCGGGTGGTCAGGCTCGCTTCCTTGGTTGATGCATGTCATCGTATCCCAATAGAGTAGATCGATGCTCATGATGTCAGTCATCAGATTGTGTGAGTCAGTCTCGATTATTTTAAAGACCACCGAGTGAGGCGTTAACCAACAAACCAACAGAAAGCATATACGTCCATTAACTGAAGAAGAAATCGCCTAAAACACGCAATAGTACTTTTTGTTTTGATTCTAAGACATGACCATCCCTCTTTTGCACTGGGTCCAAAGCTTCATAACAAAGAGGGATTTTCGCTGGGTAAACCAAATGCACAACCAAATCCCTGTCCAAAAGATTAATCATAATTCTTAATAAATTCAATCAAGGACTTTCTGTATGTATGCACAGAAAGCTGCAGAGACAAATGAAATTAATACCATGTGGATTCGTATACTGCCCTCCCACACAACAAACTTAAGGGAAAAAACATCGTTCACATCTCTGTCGTCAACGGTTCAGGTCAATTTGTTAAAACTGGGAGAAAATGTTATGTGAAGTTAACTGAGCAATGTTGGGACTTCCTCATAGATACCTTTTAATGTATAATTTGGATGTAGGACATTTAGGAACCGAACATTTCCCAGATATTGACGGATATCCGGATTTGTCACAGTCCGGTTTAGACAGATCCAACTGTATTTAGATATTTTCAAAAACAAAATGACTTAATTTGTCTGTCAAAATGAAAATAAAGTAGGGTATCACTGTGCATGCCACTGCACTAGTCGTGAGAGTTACTACCGCGCAAAATAAACACTTTACTATGGGGACATGAAAAGAAATCCATAATTAATAAGTCATTAATACATTTGGTTTCAATCGCATATTGTTAAAACGTTCATTTGCGAGAAAATATCTTAAAAGCGTATCTGAGCGTACTTATTTTTTTCAAAAAAAAAACCGTGCATATTTACGTATTACGATTTTTTACAAGAGTGGTGACTTTAATTTGCCAACAACAATAGGGATGGCTTCAGGTTTCCAAGAATCACCGTGTCCCTTTATGTCGAGCAATATACTAGCAGCTCCAGTTCGGAATGGCACAGTAAACTCTTCCTTCATCAGAGCTTTTTTGTGATTATGGAAAGAATGTGTTACTTAGATGTACATGCAACACGAATCCATACTTGGATCCATCTGTACATATAGATTTGTAAGGATCATATGAGCTCCTTAACTGATCATATTGCTGTTGACAACCTGTGAAGATCCGGGTTGGAATAAGGTCTTCATCAAACCATGCTTGCCGTAAAAGGCGCATGCACTTATCGTACGAGGCGACTAACGGGATCGGATGGTCAGGGTCACTGACTTAGTTGATGCATGTCATCGATCCCAATGGCGTGGATCGATGCTCTTGATATCAATCACTTGCTTGTCTGGTCCAGACTAGATTATTTACAGACCGCCTTCATATAGCTGGAATATTGCTGAGTGCGGCGTTAAACAACCAACCAACCAACCAACCAACCAACCGTGTAGTGGGTTTGTCTGTCGAGAGGGTCAAAGACAGGCCTACAGCATATCGCTATGCGGAAATCGTTAACCCAGTGTAGCGAGATATTAGCACTTTTGGACAGTGAATAATTGACGTGAAATCTCGCGATAATTCTACATGAGGCTTTCACGAGCCTCGGTTCGTTGTATCCCTTTAATCGTGACAAAGTTTCACTTGACAGGAAACTAGCACCCAGCAGAATGTAGCCATAGAGTTTTTGTCTCAACATTTCTTTTAGTTTTGTTTTCCCTCTAGTTTCACTTCCAACATACAGAAGTAGTATAGTCTCAGTCCGCAGGAACCCCCTTTTGGTTGATCCGGTTGATCCAGGCGGATGCGAAGTTGATTGGCTGATCCAAGTCACGTGATCGGATAGGATGACTCATGCATCAACAGCGCGTCGGGAAAGGGCGGGGAATGAAAGGTGTGTGTGTTTATAAGGCAGAAAAGAATTCGTAAGTAAACAAAAGTAAAGGGTATTCAATAGAGCTATGTGTATGGCGTGCTGCCCTGAATAGACAGACCGCACCCGTCAGCCCAGTTTGAATTGAGCGCGCTTGACAACTCACGTGACCACGTCGTTTCAAATTGTTTATTGGTCATAATGGTTTCGTTTATTTCAGGCGTTAGTAGAAATTACAATTAGTGTACAACTCACGTAGTCGTTTCAAATTGACCGCGCTCGCTAGAGCG